AAATTCAGGTGGGATAGACTCAAAGTCATATTTTGGTTGCTTTGGATTTGGTTTAATTTTCTCAACTTCAGCTTGAACTTGCATATGAGTAGTTGGTGGTCTGTTCCACAATCAGCTCCTGGCCTAGTTTTCACAGCTGATACAACTGAATATATACAACAGATACATATATTGTAATTGCATGATATTCTGTATCATGTTTTGAGAGAAGTGATAGAAATATTATATTGACTGTTGTTGCCAAAGATTTATTGAAGATTTACTCAAATGAAAAATGAAGTGTAATTACTTGCGTGTCTCCTAGAATGGCTTAGATAAAAACATGGAAGAGTTCCAAGGATGGACAAGGGCACAGGATAATTGTGAGTCTTTTTCTTTGGTGGATGGAGCATAACTTCTTTTCAGAACATATTTTTGGCACTATTTAAGCATATACAGACACTGTGGTCAAATAATTCCATCTCTATTTGCATGTGCAAAAATGTATAAAACGTGTTTTGTATGTGCCCAAAATCCAAAATAAAAATGCTGGTAGCAGTTACTATTCATAATCAGCTGAGCTAAGAACTATCCATATGTCCAGTAGCATGGAAAGAATAAAAATATTGTGGACAATTCACCCGATGAAGTACTTACTATGTACTGATATGAATTCATTAGCTATTGATTCATGAAATAACATAGATGTTCAAAATGTAGTGTTAATTCAAAGAAGGAAAACATGGAAAAGTATATACAGTATATGATTTGATCTCCACTCTCTTCCTACTACTTCGTGCTGAATTCACTTTAATCATACTTTATTCAGAGTCATCCACAAACTCAGACCTCAGCTAACCTTGTCAGAAGCATTTAAAACAACTGATTAGCCACACATCTTGAAGATTTTTCCTGTTTAAAAAATATGTTCTTGTTGTTGCTGTTGATTGCCTTCGAGTTGAGCACATCACATAGTGACCGTATGAACAAAAGGCCTCAAGCCCCTCTACAACTATCAACATTTATCATAGTTTCCAGAGTCATGTTGTTTAGAAAGTAGATGCCACTTCTGCTTCCAAACCTGTCATTGTATGTTATTGTTGTTATGTGCTTCCAAACCTGTCATACTAAGTTATTGTTGTTATGTGCCATTGAGTTGCCTGAGATGTATAGCAACCCTATGTACAGCAGCCCTGTCCTGAGCCAGTCTCACTAATTTTGACACAACAATCCCACATCCTGAGTTACTGTATATCAATCCATCTCATCCAGGTCCTCCTCTCCTGTGCTGTCTGTCCGCCCTTTGGAGTATGATGTCCTTTTCCAAGGACCAGTCTCTCCTGGCCACATGCCAAGGAAAGTGAGGTGGTGATTCAAAATCCTAGCCTCGAAGGAGAGACTTGGTTTCACCCTCTCCAAGACAGATCTATTTGTTTTCTTGGCAGTCCATGGTGTGTTCAAGACTCTTCTCTAGCACC